TATATCAAGCAACTTAAACAGATATGATAACCACACAGATAACAAAGGTCTTACAATGATAGAATTTAAGTGATGAAAGAAACCTGACAATTCTAATTTACTTTATGCTCAATGAAAAATACCATTTGTGGTATCATTTCCCTTTGTTTCCTACTTAACTTCAAAGAACCTACTGTTTCAACAACCTGACTAAAGCTTGCCCTGACAAAGTAACAGCTTTGTCAGTTTGTCAAAGACATAACACAAATGGCACTAATTATGTCTTTTGAGTACATACTGTGCTAAGGACTTCACAAATAACCCATTTCATGTTCACCACAAGCCTTTAGCACAGATATTATTATTATCTGATCTATTTTAAAGGTAAGGAAACTGAATCATGGACATTAAATAGCTTTCTCCTGGTCATCCAGATTGTAAACGGAGGAGCCAGGATTCAGAGCTAAATCTGTATGACCAGAGCCCAAGCTTCCTTTTGTTCAATCTCAGAACAGCGCCCTCATCCAGCTTATTTGACAATTAATCTTGGGTGAAAAAAACTTTGTGCTATCACTTTATTGTCTTAAGCTTTTGTTTGCTTATGTTAATTATTATGTTTTTCATATGTTTATGTCTTGTTTCTTGAGAGTTTACATATTTGTGTCCCCACCATTATTTTGCACGCAGTTGAGGTTCAGTAAATGTTTGACAAACACCCCCTTCAACTTCCATTGAAGAGATACTATTTTCAAAGCAGGTTATTTCCCTCTTTGAAAGTTGTTCCTACTGATCAAATTTTATAAGTACTGTTAACAACTTAAAAATCATAGAATTCTAAAGCACAGTATGTGTATTCAGTTGCCTTTGTTCTATGGCTGAGAAAATCTAAAGTTAATTGAATTGCCCAGGATCATGAAGCTATTAACTTGCACCTCCATGGCCATGAACTGTGGTCCCTTGGGTCAATGTCTGGTAATATTATTTCACATATTTGAAAATAGTTGACAAGCTCCTCTTAGTCCTCTTAGGCAATAAGGTTTGAATTTTTCACCACCTTAGATAATCTTCTGATTTCAAACCAATTTTTTAATGATAATATTAACAGACTCTCTTAAGATACTGCAAGGGAACAGAAGCATTCATTTATTACTAATAGCACTTTAACTAAGTATAATCTTTATATAAACTAATCTTTCATTATTATTAGTTAAAAATGTATTTGCCTTATAGTTTGGTCATCTCACTTTGTAGTAATAAAACTATATCTTGCCGAAACTGGTTTGGATCAGTGGTAGAGCGCCAGTCTGCGGACTGGAAGGTCCCAGGTTCGATTCCGATCAAGGGCATGTACATTGGTTGCGGGGTGTGCAAGAGGCAGCTGGTCAATGTTTCTCTCTCATCGACGTTTCTAGCTCTCTATCCCTCTCTCTTCCTCTCTGTAAAAAATCAATAACATATATTTTAAAAAATAAAAATAAAAAAATAAAATAAAACTTTATCTTAAGGAAATAGTTAAAAAGAAAAAGAAGAAGAATTTGCTTTAAAATGGATTTAGAATAATCGCTACTTAGAAATGGCACAACATTTGTAGAATATGTGTAGAATAATATATACTTGTCATTGAATATTGTGATTCATCTTATCAGTTCACTTGATAAGAACTATTATCCACCCAGTTTCACTATTTTATTCACAAGAATATCATGGGAGATTATTAAAGGCTTTGAAGAACTGAAAAATATTATACATGATATTCTCTTTATCTACTAATATCAGCATTTATCAACAATTTTATCTTCTTTCTAAGAGGTCGCCTTGCCTGCATTATTGTCTCCCTCACTAAATTCTTCACCACACTATAGTTAGAGTGATCTAAACTCAAGCCCTCTTTTAACTGTCCTATTTCAAATACTTCAAAGCACTCTCATTTTCCATAGAGGGTATTCTTAACTTCAGTTCCAGGACTCCCAAGGACTTTAAGAATTTTATAATTCTGTTTCAAATTTTATAATTCTGATACTCTGAAAAGCATCATAGATTTGTATTAGATTATCACAAAGTAACTATGATTTTAATGCCTATATATCACATATAAAATAAAGACAAATTTTCCTAAATATTTATATAAACCTTTTCATGACCTAATGTCTAAATCCCTAAGTCTCATCTCCTTCTTTGTCTCAGCCTTCAATAACCACCACATTCATATATATGCATGCACAAAAACACACACATACACATAATAATAGTAATGTCAAACTTCCCATGGCTTCTCAAAATAATCATGTGAACAGAGCAAACATATGTCCTCCTATGTACATGCTGGACCATCTTCCTTCTCCCCATCCTGAGATTCCAGTCATCCTCAAACCTCAGCCATCTTAACACCTTAATGAAACCTTCCCTGACCTAGCCACGCATGAAGTGCTTTCATAGAGCTTTGCTCGTACCATTCTTAAAGCATTTATTAAATTGCTCTAGTAATTTTATTGAAGATCTATCCCTTCACAAAACCCCAATTCACAATCATAAGGCGGCTATGATTCTGATATAATAGTGAGAATCCAGCCCCCTTGCCAAGTTTTAACCAACAGCTAGGGAGACCATGCTATTTCAGGAGAATAACCTAGGATTCATTCAATAAATATCTGAACTAATGTGTGAACAAGTAAAATGAGCAACGCTGTAACAAAATAATGGACTTGGTTTACATGTGCCTTTTTTATTTATAGATGTGCATAAACTTTACCTTTTTGGGACCCAGCAATGGATAATTTATTTATTAAAAAGTCAATATAATTCAGGTTCTGTTTAATGGAATATGGAGGTCTCATAAAAGAAGTTCATGTCATACTTCTCTCTAAATGTTTACAGTCTTGTGGGCAGCAAAGACTTAGACATGTATAAGACTCACTATTGGTACTTTACTAGTTTACTTGCCCTCAAATGATGCTAAGTAGGAATACTTAGTCTGTAAAATGATATAGCCCTCAGAGCCTAAACTTTGCACTTAAATATATCTGAGTACCAATCTTAAATATTCTGTGTACCAGCAGTGCAAGACTGACCAAGTTGTATAAATTCTGAGCCTTGGCTATATCAACTACAGAATGAAGGTAATGTTTCCTTCATATTTTTACAAAGATGATATATGTACCACACCTGGTAACTATGCAGCAAGTAATGGTGATGGTAGTGAATGGACTCAGGCATCTTCAAACTACGGCCCGCGGGCCACATGCGGCCCGCAGAGGAGCCTGATCCGGCCCGCCAGGTTTTTTGGGCAGTGAGCGCAGCCGAGGTGTTACAGTAGGAATTAGTTCATATAGTCCGGCCCTCCAGCTCTCTGAGGGACCGTGATCTGGCCCCCACTTTAAAAAGTTTGAGGACCCCTGGTGGTGGTAATGCTGATAGTGACGTTAGCACATTGAACTGCAACTCCTTAAAGACAAGGATTTTCTTTAATTTATATTTGAATCCCAGCACCATAGTACCTGATACATAGCAGAGAGTAAGCAGCTGTTTCTTACTAGTATAATCAGTTGCCAACTACTAGATGTTAACAGCCAAGGGAAATAGAAAGAGACTAGCATGAGCTAGAATTATTAAGAAAAACTTTATTGGAGACAGAGATACTCAAAGGATATATTTTTTTCATTGCCAGAGAACAAAACAGAAGTGACTCAGTTACTGAAGATTAAAGAAGCATAACATGCAGTCTGTGATGGGGCGGGGAAGAGTAAATGTCTTCCTTTGAAGCATTAGTGGGGGAATAATTAAATACTTTGTAATTACTAACACTTTACTGTTCAGCACCAGACCTACATATTAACAACAAAGATAATAATCCCAAGCCTTGCTCCCTTTGGAAGCCTCACATTATGTCAAAACCATACAAGAAAATGTCTCATTTAAACAAACTGTATGACATAATAAGAAAAGCATGAGCTTTATAGGGCGGCAAATCTAGGTTTGAATTTTAGCTTTGCCACTTAACTAACTTTATTGTTTTGGGCAAGTCGCTTACCTCTTTGAGCTTCAGTTTTCTCTTCTGTAAAATAGGAACTCTAATGTTTGCCCCACGGGGCTGATGTGGGGTTGCATGATATTCTTGTGAGGTATCCAGTGCAGTGCCTGGTGTGTAACAGGCGTTCAATAACATGTGTATTGTTGTTATTTTTAACTAGAGGACTGGTGCAAGAATTCGTGCATTGGGAGGGGCTATCTGGAATTCGTGCATTGGGAGGGGCTATCTGGCAGACCTGCCCCAATAGGGGCTGATCAGGCCAGGCGGGGGGGGGGGGGGGGGGGAGGTAGAGAGAGGGGCTATGGGCAGTTGGCCAGCTGGCCCTGCCCCCTGGTTGAACTCCCAGTCGAACTCCTGAGTTGAGGGGGCAATTTGCATATTATCCTTTTATTATATAGGATAGTATGAATTGATGCATTTATGCGTTTGTTCCAAGCCAAGGTGTACATTTTGGTTGTCCAATTTTTGGACTTGTAAGCTTGAGCCTAGTTGATCTGAGAATAATTGGGAAATAATCCCAGATTTTTTTAAATGGGAAGAATCCAGGAAAGGACAAAGTGTAGCATTGTAATCTGTTACTGTTTGTGTCTTTAACATGAATAAATGCTAAAAGTGTTATGGGCCATTATGTAGGGTGAATGCTCAAATAAGAAGCTATTAATTTTCTGTATTAACTACCTGGTGTACAAACTGTCATGCAAATACTGCCTTGTGCTTTATGCAAAACATTGAAACACCTAGGACTTTATTCTTCTGCTTGGATTTTTTTTCTGTAGTAAAATACATACTGAATTAATTTCAAGTGTGTTTGTCTGTAAACCAGCCAAATATCTCTTTTTAAATATTTGAGCTCTGTGTTGAATATAGAGAGTTATGGTTCTTAGCACATTACTTTTTTTAGTAATAGATTACATTCTTCAATCCTTTAATATAGTTCCACATATATAAAATGTCTGTTATGCCCATATTAATGAAAACTTTTCATTTTATACAGGTTCCTCCAGGGGACCCAGCCCCCTGACCATGGGGGCCCAGGACACCCTCCCTGTTGCAGCAGCATTTACAGAAACGGTCAACGCCTACTTCAAAGGAGCAGATCCCAGCAAGTAAGCCTGGGACTTAGTCCCCTGCATTCTCCACACTCTGCCTTATTCAGTGGAGGCTATCTTAAATACACCTACTTAATGCCTGTCCTAGAACCAAAAGAAGTTCAGCAAACATGAACAATGGAAAAGAAGATTTAATTAGGGATATTAATTCACTGATTTTTTTTAAAGAATGTATTAAAAGATCCAATCTAATATCTTACTATCCAGAAATCTCTGACTTAGTGTTGATTGCAAGTAATGGAGTACCCTAACTCAACTCTGTCAGCAATGAAAAAATCTATTATGTCACAAATGTAAATGTCCAGATCATGTCTTCTGTTGCCTTCATCTTTCCTGGACAGGAATCTCCTGCATACAAACTAAAACAATGGTGCATTGGAATGAGAAAGTGCGTGTGGGGGTGGGACAGTGGGTGGGGGGCGGTTAAACTTCCCATAACACCTGGATATGTAAGAGGGAAAGTTATATGTGACTCTTACTCTAAGTAAGGAAAAACTGGCCAGAAATAAATAAGTGAATAAATTGTAATCACAGCAAAATAAAACTTCTAGGGAAAAATATATTACTCTCTATTTACAAGAACCTTATTTCACTTATATCAGTGCATAATTGATAAGTGACTTGACCAGAATGTATATGTAACATAACTAAATGTTTTGTCTCTATATAAGGAGTTTCACAAGAAGAGTTGAGGAAGTCTGTGGATTTCCTGAGATTATTAGGTCTAGTAATAATTAATGTCGTTTTCTAATACTTTTTAAAATCGAATTTATTTAAACAATACAACAAAATTTAATCAACAATATAGTTGCCGTTGTTTTCTACTACTTGTGCCCAACGATCAGGAAGCATTTTAATCCCTCTGTTGTAAAATTCTTGTGATTTTGATGCAAAAAATTCGGTCAATGCATTTTTGAGGCATTCTTCATTATTAAATTTTTTTCCAAGAAGAAAGTTTTGCAAAGAAAGAAACAAATGGTAATCGGAAGGGGCAATATCAGGAGAATATGCAGGTTGAGGGAGAACTTCCCATTCCAACTGGCACAGTTTTTCAGCAGTGATTCTTGCAGTATGTGGTCGTGCGTTATCGTGGTGAAGAATTATGCCCTTCCGATTAATCAGCGCGGGTTCTTTTTCTCTTAAAGCTTGGGCTAACCTTTCCAATTGGGCACTCTACACTGCACTTGTAATGGTTTGGTTAGATAGTAAAAGTTCATAATGAAGAATTCCTTTAAAATTCCACCAAACACACAACATCACTTTTTTCGCATGCAAGTCAGGTTTTGGCGTGGGCTGCAGAGCCTCATTTTTGTCCAACCATTAAGGCCGCCTTTTCAAATTAACATACAGCACCCATTCTTCATCTCCGGTAACAATTTGCTCTAAAAACGGCAAACGGTTTTGACAAGAGAGGAGCGAACTGCAAATTGTGACTCTTTGATTACGGTTGTTGTTGGTCAACTCATGAGGAACCCATTTTCCAAACTTTTGGACTTTGCCAAGTGCACGCAATTGATTGGAAATTGTTTTTTGTGAACAATTTAAAGTTGTCGCAAGCTCTTGTTGGGTCATTTGAGGATTTTGCACCAAAAGAGCTTGAAGAGCTTCTTGATCAAAATTGGACACACGGCCTCGACCACTCTTGTCATCTAACGAAAAATTTCCCTCGCGAAATTTCTCAAACCAACGCTGGCATTTTCTGGCGCTAACTGCATCTTGACCAAGAGCACTACAGATGTTTTCTGCAGCCTCACTTGCTTTTCTTCCTAATTGGAACTCGTAAAGCATGCAGTGCCGAATATGCTCTTCATCCGCCATCTTCTTAGCCCTAGTTTTGCAACAAAAACCAAACCAAACATAAACTTTTTCAAGCAAAACTTGTTAATTGTACTTCACACTTCTGTAGATACCACGTGTTTGAAGGTTATGTCAATACAAGTCAACGCCAAGCAAGATTTTAAACGAATGTTTAAAAACAACATTATTACTAGACCTGATATATTACTTAACTTCCGTGTGTGCATATATGCATTTGTCCGTAGAAGAGGGTCTACAACATTAATTACTTTCACAAGGGGGTTCATGAACCACACACACACACACACACACACACACACACATACACAGAGTTAATAGTGATTATTGTTCTATACTAAAAACTAAATACTTAAGTCAAACTAGATTTCATACTATGTCACTAGTATAATTCAGATCTGAATTTGATGGATAAACAGTGCAAACCTAAGTGAGGGCAATATTGCTTTTTATTTTCCACTTGTGAGGATAAGGGCTGAGAAAACCTTGGTATCTATGGAAATAACAGTGAGAGAAAAAAGTCAATGTGCATATAGAACAATAGGCTATTTTTTTAAATTTTTGAAAACAGTGATAATTAACAATAATTAGAACTTTGCTTCCCACATGTATTTTAAGTAGGAATCTGTATGACTAATCATGAATTCTCTTTACACTTCAGAAACACTGGTTTTTATAAGTCTAGGTATAAGACTATTACACTGGGAAAGTAATATAATTAGTAATTCCACCTTTTGGTGTCCTACCCAATCTCTGGGATCTATCAACCACTCTGAAGTGTCAAGTCTTTTTAAATATCTAGGTTTTATTCTAAGACCAGAGTATTGTAGAGAAGCAAACACTGTGGTATCTTAGTCCAATTTGGCTGCTAAAACAGAATACAATAGAGCAGGTAGTTTATTTCTCAGTTCTGGAGGGGAGGAAGTCAAAGGTCAAGGAGCTGGCAGATTTGAGTGTCCAATGAGATCTGGCTTCCAGGTTCATAGACAACCTTTTCCCATGTAGCCTCACATTGTGGCAGGAACAAGGGAGCTCTGTGGGCTCTCTTTCTTTCATAAGGGCACTAACCTCATTTATGAGGGCTCTACCCTCATGTCCTAATTTCCTCCCAAAGGACCACCTCCAATGCCATCACATTGGGGATTAGATTTCAGTCTATAGCACTCTGGTTTATCCCAGGTCCTTTCTTTTTCATCTTCAAAGCAGGAAGTTCATCTGTTACATCCTCATATCAATAGAAAATAGAAATTAAAAGCTACTTCATGCAGAGGTCTGAGTTTGAACTGTTGGAGCAAGGAAGTACCCTGAGTTTAAGTTTTATATATACTGCATGGGATAAACCTGGGTGCTAACTGAATGTTTACATTCCCCTGCCTCCATGCCCCAATTCATATATTGAAACCCATAAAAGCAGTCGAGCCAAATTAATATTTAGTGCTTTTCCTATGCCTTTGATATGAACTGAGCCATTGACTTGTGGATGACTGCACGAATTGAACTGTTTTTAATTATATTGCCATATATAGTTGCAGAATATACTATATATTGGTAGATAGGAGATATGGATCATTTCATTAAAATTATGAGATCTAAAATTTATGAACAGATCATGAAGTAGTGTTCTTTTAAATTTAATTTCTTCTCCATGTAGTAAATCATTTTCATTGCTTTCCCTGTGTTATTCACTTTCAAGGAAGCAACTCAAGTTCAAAACTTTGATCATGGGGTAAGGAAGGAAGGAGGAGGATAAAGCCAAACACAGCACCACATAGGGAATGATGCAGAAAAAAAATGTGGATTTGCTTTTTGCCTGTGGTTCCCTCTCATCCTGAATCAGAGCCTTTTCCATGTGTTCAGACTGTACATTGGAAACAGAAATCTGTTACTTTATTTTTTACAATCCATTATGATATACAGTCTATTCAAATATAGTTACATTTTTCCCTGCGTATTCAGAACACATGTGACAGGTATTCTGCCATCTGTGTCTTTCTCAATAGCTGATAGGCACAGAACTCCTTGATTTTTGCTGCTTGGCTGTGTCAACTTCCACATGAAATCCCATTATTACCTCCTATTTGAACAAGCCTGGTACTAGGGATTAATTCTCTAATCCCCTAGAAAAAAACAAAAACGGGTTTCTCAGCTATATTCGGACCATTCCTTATCATACTTCAGTTATTTATTCAAGTGTTTGTCTCCCTGTTTAACCTGGAGGCCTGGGGAAAGGACCACATTTGTTCTGTTTTTTACTGTTCATTCTAGTGCATTACATTATGTGGGGATGTTGAATGTGCACCGTGTGTATAGTTGCACTAGGTAGGTTCTTTGTTATGTACCTTTGCCTTCCCAGAACCTAAGACATACTACTTGCCTTCACAATAGTAGGTATGTGCAAGAAACAACGAAATTTTCCAAAAAATATGTACATATGTCCATGGAAACTAGAGAAAGGGAAATTTAAGGAAGGTTAAATGGAGAAGATATTAAGGAAGGCTTCAGAAGGGCCTGCTTTTGAACTGAGTCTTGAAATGTGAAAAGGAGTTGGCCTAGTACAGTGGTCAGCAAACTCATTAGTCAACAGAGCCAAATATCAACAGTACAACAATTGAAATTTCTTTTGAGAGCCGAAAACCAACTTCTGCGCATGGGCCACAAAGTGAGCCCATGTACGTGGGCTCACACTGTAGGTGCGCACACCCACGTGGTATTTTGTGGAAGAGCCACACTCAAGGGGCCAAAGAGCCACATGTGGCTCACGAACCACAGTTTGCCGACCACTGGCCTAGTACCTAAGCCAATGGAAGGGGATTATAAGGAAGAGAAACTGCTTATGTTCGTTTGAAAAGAAGGCCATGGGCTTAGTTATCGGGACAGTGCAAAGAAGGCAAATTTAATGAGGAAGCATTTCTGATGATCTCACATAAATCAAATCCACACATTCACTGGCCAAAACTGGCCAGTGTTTCTGTTGACCAGCTAACACGGTGCTTTCTATGGGAGGACCTAGTTTATAAGTCACTTGGCCAGTAGACTGAACTTGTGCCATTCTTCTCAAATGTTTCCTTTATAAGGACTCACATGATTTCAAAGTGTATTCATAAAGTAAGTTTGCTAATATTTCCATATAGAAATATAATTCTAGGGGAATGTAAACATTCAGTTAGCACCCAGGTTTATCC